CTTCAATATGACTCTAAATCGAATCAACTAGTTGGTTTTCCTTTACCGTTGAACAATGATGGAATGCCTGTAACATATTCATTTACAGCTACTTGTGCTAAAAAAATAGAAGAATATTTCAGTACTAATAATCCTGCCACTTTATTATATGTAATAATTGTACAACCGCTCGTATGAGGCACCTTCTTTTTGTTTGTGTTTATATAGTACTGACAATAAATTCAAAGCTGACGATGTTATTAAGCGCGATGGTCTTACACTGTTAAATGTTTAAAGAATGCAGGTATAAGAGTTCTAGGTATGTCTTCTGATGGTGATCCGCGGTTATTATGAGCAATGCGAATTAAAACAAACACCGGTGTTTGTAAAGAAACAAATTGTGAACCTAGTCAAGTTCCTTCTGCATTACAATGCACTTTGGAGTCATTACCAGAAACTATTTTTATACAGGATACTGCGCATATTGGCACCAAACTCAAAACAAGACTGCTGAAAAACTCCATTGTATTGCCAATGGGAAATTATTTAGTCTCAGCTAGTCACTTACATATTCTGATAGACACAGTTCCAAAAGATAAACATTGTTTAACTCGGAAAGATTTATCCCTAAAAGATAAAATGAATTTTCCTTCAGTATTAAAAATATCAGACTCTAAAGTCTCCGAGCTATTAACAAAACATGTTCCAGAAAGTGAAGGAACTATAGCGTATTTATACGTTATCCGCTTGTGTTTGAGTGCATTTTTAAACAAAACATTAAGTCCATTAAAACGGATTTATAATATATGGTATTGTATTTTTTTTCTACGCATATGGACAGCTTGGCTACGGGCAAATTCACAGTATTCTATAACTGATAATTTTATAACTTTAAATGCGTATCTATGTATCGAAATAAAGGCACAAAGTTTGATAGATGTTATAAAGTTACTGAAAGATATTGATTCTCCCGAACTATTTTTACCGTGGTAATTTAGTAGTCAACCGTGTGAACATTTTTTCAGGCATTTACGTTCAACAAGTTCCACATTTTCAACTATAGTGAATTGTAGTGTTTTAGAGGCTATCCACAGAGTTAGACGTATCCAACTTCAAAGTGACATATCAACAAGTAATTCTAACGTATCAACTGAAGGATATAAATTCCCACGCACTCAAGAATCAAGTTCATTTTCCAATAAATCAACATTTGAACTTCCTTCTTTGGATGAAATGGAATATACTATTGAATCTGCAAAACAAGATGCTTTTATCACGATATCTTTACTAGGTATGACAGTACCCATATCAGATGTAGAAAGTAGAATCATACACGACATCCATATTGATTCTGATTATTCAACTTTACATTCATCTTGTACAAAAGAAGATAATAATATATCTTTATCGATCAATTCTAACGAAGTAAATTCAGAAAATAAGACTGAAGATAATGAAGAGTTTGATTTATTAGAAGACTTAACGACACTTTCGTGCATTCAGGGTAGTTTAGAACTAATTTTGACAAAATAACAACAGAAATTAAGCCTAACAGTCCTTTCACGATCGTAACCGATTCCTATGGCAAGGAATTAATAGTGAGGAAATCATCAATATGTTGGCTTCTAAGTAAACCCTCGTGCAAATTAAGTAGCGATGGAATACAGCGTGTTAGAGAATCTGAGTTAACTACATATATTAAAAAATCGCGTTTTGCACAGGGAAATGATGAGTACAAAAAATATGATGAAATATTTATCGGTGATTGGTGCTTATTTAAAAGACCTTATAAAAAACTAAATAAAAAATGCTATATTGGTCATATTCTTAGTTTTGCATATACAAATGGCATAACGTGGAAGTCTATCGAATATTCAAAGAATTTTGCGAAAACGGAAGGAAACATTAAAAATATAGGTGTCCTTTGTCATTGGTATAAAATTGACACAGATAGACAGTTAATTTTTGTGCCTATGAATACTCAAGAGTATATTGATATTAAAAACTATGTTCTTACAATTTCACGTCCTTCTTTTGTACTATCAGGGTTAAAACTTAGTGAGAACATCTACGATAATATTAGAAAGTATTTATAATCAGTAATTAGATTTTATATATTTTAATACTATGCGTTGTGCAATTCGAAACTGAAACTTATTATATATGTGCAAAAACGGCTAAGTTTAAACATTATGTATCTAACAAGAATAATTATGTACATAATTATTATTATAGGTACATCCGTATTCCCATGTTACGAAACGTTTCGTATATGATAGAATTAAGTTACGTTAAAAATGTACATTTAAAGTGTAATTTTGTTTTTTATTTGTAAAAGTTATAGCTTGATAAAGCAAAATGTTCTTTTCAAGTGTAATTTATAAAGTTGTCGGTTTGATAAAGTATATTAATTTTATAATTATTTTTATAAATAAAAATATTTATAAAATACATATTAATTAATTTTCGTAATCTCAAGATTATTTATTATGTTTTTCCTTTCGTATTTTAAAGTATTCTATTTATATTTAAAAAAGTGATATAAATGATATAAATAACAAATGTAAAGAATACTTGAAAGAATATATAATTGAGTAAATTTAATTACTTAATAGCACAGCCTTTTTCAAATATATCTCAATGTTAGTAATAGAAATAAAATTAGGAATAAAAAAGACTATAGAGAAAGTAATTAGTTATATATCCAAGTAATTTAAATCACTTGAAATAATAATTATATTGCTAGAAATCATAATGAAATCGCTTAAAATCATAATAAAATCATTTGAAATCATAATGGCATTGCCTAGAATCAGTTGAAATCACTTGCGAAATCATTTGAATTCAGTTGGTGATACGAAATCACATAAAATCGGATGAAATTAATTGAAATCACATGAAATCGGATGAAATCAATTGAAATCACATGAAATCGGATGAAATCAATTGATATCAGTTGAAATCAGTAATCAATTGTAATCTCTGGTACACCCCAAAATGAGTGAATAACCCCTTGGTGTAAACAGATAAATTTAAACCTCATCATTTCGTTTCCAAGATTCAATCGAAATATATCTCGGAACGAAAAATTAATTTACAAGAAGGAGAAGTGCTCATGCACTCTGATTTTTCCGAAAATTACGCATACGTGGCACAGGATGCAGCGCAAGCCTTTCATTATAATAATGATCAATGTACGGTTCACCCAGTTGTCATTTATTATAAAGAAGGTAACAACATCGCACACCACAGTTTTGTGTTTCTTTCGGAATGCATGACACACGACACTACTGCTGTGTACACAATGCAAAAGCA